CGTAAAGAATAGTGGCCTTAGATTATCTGAAGTCTAACAAAATTTTTCTTTAGGAATGCCTTATTTATATAAAATATTACATATGAATTCAACTTTAATATTATGTATTTCTACAAACATGGAGTAAGAAGAGAAGCTGAATGTTTCACACTGATTTTTGGGAGGTCTCTTTTGTAACTAAGATATCATGAGTTTTTTGTTCTTGTGTTGTTTTACTTACTTCTTGTTTTACTTACCATTTTTTTTTCAAATACTTCTTTCACTTCTCCCAAATCAAACCATAAACGACATTAAGGATGAGGCTGAGAGTCGGAGCGGTCAGAAGGTCTGCCTTGGCCAATCAATAGATACTTGCAAAAAAGACACTTCTGCATATAAAGTCACCTATTGATTGTTTAAAACCGTACTCTTCCTCCTAATCCTTTTGATTCATTATCATTAATGGAGTGAAGTAAGTTTGTTAATATCCAATTTTGGGGGGATGCTTGTTTGTGAAAGAAAATCAAAGTGACTGCTTTAGACCTCTGAATTTGGAAAGCAAGTTGTATGAAAGTAGAGAGCCTCTTTAATTTGATCTTCTATCAGCTGCTGTCAGTGTCCTTCAGTCTTTGATTAACCCCCTCCTGTCAGCTCCATGGGAAGCACTACACGATCCATGATCTTCTTTTCTTCAGTCCTAGTCTCGCCAGGGACCTTGCTCAGCCTCAGTTTTTGCCTGCCTTCTTCTTCTGGACATCTTCTTAGATCCTTGGCCTCTGTTGTCGTCCTAAGAATGTCATCAGTTGCTCTGTCAGGTGTGGTCTAATCAAATGTTCTTTTTAAGCACCTACATTGTCACTGAAAACATACTAAATGTAGAGGTAATGTTGAGTCAAGGCAAAATTATTGTAGATGTAACTTATGGATACCTTGAACTTAATACAAAACTTATAGTTTCAACTCAGAATTCACACAATAATAAGGGCATAGGTTTAACTAAAGTTATAATTCTGATTCCAAACATAATATACTTTCAAAATAAGGTACATACCACACAGTGGCAGAAAATAGGATTTCACAAAAGAAATCAAGTCATCTCTCGTGTTCTCTTAGCATTCTTTTTAACATTTGTCCATTTCTCATTATACATTTTCACAATTACTTAATTCATGGCTTAAAAGTATGTTTTACAAGAGCATGGTCTGTGACTGTTTGGTTTGCTGTATGTAGACCCTGAACCCAGTGTCTTATAAATGCTTCCAAAATATAAGTTGAAGGAGTTCTGAAAAAAGATACATGACTGAGAAATGGAGAGTCCCGAAAAACTTTATCATGTGATCTAAGGTTAGTTTAAATGGAGCTTAGAACTATAGTAATATGTGGAACTGTAGGTATTATACAAATAGACATGAGGTTGGCTGACAATCCCAATGAGGGAAGCAGCATGAACACAGGGAGTAAGATCAGCATGTAAGGAGTGTTCTGACCTAGCTTGGGCAGAGCATTCCTGTGAGCAATAGTAGAATGTGTAGTAGCATAGGAATAGTATAGGAGTAGATAGGCATAGTAGAATGTGAAAATACAGTAGACACGTGAAGCGGACAGAAGATGAAGGACATGGATCAATGGTATCCTACAACTGGTTTGAACTGGTTCACAAGACCCTATTTTGCACAGCCCTTCCTACCTTCATGGAACCAGCCATGGTGAGACTATGGAAATAGGTAAATAATACAAATTAAAGCTCTTTTCGCTGCCCCAACCTCCCACTCCCATAGAACCACTTGTTGACACTTGTAACCAAATCACGGTATTAGATATTAGGCTTTAGAGGTGGTACTTGCTTCTAGGTTCAAATAAGAGATAGCAGAATAAAACGAAAATATTTGTAAGATTAAAATCCACAACTTAGCACCATGACAGTGTAGAACTATTGCAATAAATAGAATCTAAAAATACTGAAATCAGTAATTTCAGTTAGAAAATAGCATGGTAAAATGGATGGTTTGGGAATATTTGCTTGTTCTGCCACTCTTCGACAGATTTATTTCTTAAGTTCCATCAAATTATTGAAAGTTCTCTCATTCCCAGAAAATTAGCTGCTTTTAGTAAAAATCTGAATTCTGTGGAAAACTGTGACAAGGAATTTTAAAATTGTATCTGTTTTTGTATTTCATATTTACATTTCTCCTTATGATATAAGGAAATGAAAGACTTTCCTATATAAATAACACATTATAAAAATTGGATAATATAAAAATTGTAAAAGAGAAAGCAATCTAACATAAAAGATAGCCATTTTTAACATTTTGTATTGCTTGTCTAGGGACAGTCTAATAATTTCAATTTCTATTTTTTCTTTCATTTTTCTTTGTAGCACTTACCACTTTCTAACAAAATACTTCATATTTTTGTTTACTTTTTCTTTTTCTTCTTTAGACTATAAGCTTCATGAGGGCAAGGATTTTTTGTCTGTTTGCTTATTGCGGTATTGCTGGCACCTAACACAGTGTCGTATATAATAGAAAAATATTTGACTATGAGTATAGTTTCATAAATGAATATTTTAACCTAATATTATGAGTATTTTTGCACATAAAATGTAGATCTGTATCATCATTTTAGTAGCTATGCAATATTCTACTACATATGTATTCCATATATATAATTGACACACATGCATATTTCACATATATACACTTAGAAATGAAATATTTGAGTTAAAGTTTATAAACATTTCTAAGTCCTTTAACAGCACATAGATTTTTACTGTTTATTTATTTATACATACCCAAATTGGATAGGGTCAATCTTGTCAATGTTTAATAAACCGATATTATTTTAATATTTATTTTTTCATTACCAGTGAAACTGAATTTTTTCATATTCTCATTGCACAGTTGTATTTCTTCTTTTGTTAATTGTTCATGTCTCTTTAAAATTTTTGAGCTAGTGTTTGTTTATTTGTAATCTGAATATATTAAATCTTCATAATTTGTATTGCATCCTTCACCCTAACATTTTCCATTTGTCTTTTAATATTTAAGCTCATTTTTTGAAAACATTTTTGGTATTTTGGTTTTGTTTTCTTGTTTAGTTTGGTTAATCAAAAATTTTATGTTTATGTAATTAAAACTTTCAGTCTTTTCCTTTCAGATACTGGGGTTTTGTAGTAAGGTAATATAAATGGACTTGTATTTTTCTTCTGATTTTAGGATTTTATATTTTACCTTATTTCTTTAATACTTTTTTTTTTTTTTTTGAGACGGGGTTTTACTGTCTTGCTGTCACTCAAGCTGGAATGCAGTAGCTAAATCATAGCTCACTGCAGCCTCAAACTACTGGGCTCAAGAGATCCTCCTGCCTCAGCCTGCTGAGTAGCTAGGACTATAGGCATGCACCATGAATCTCTGGACCTCAAGTGATCCTACTGCCTTGACCTCCCAAAGCACTGGGATTATAGGTGTGAGCCACCACGTCTGGACCTTTAATTCATTTTAAATGATTATAAATGAATTTTGATATGTTATGAGAAAGGCTTCAATATTTATTTTGTAATTTCAGACATTTCCTGACTATGACCTTGAAATGCCATTGTTAGCATATCCTAAATTTCCCTGTATACTTGACTCTGTTTCTTGTTCTATATTAATTTCATTCAATTATTCATTCAGTCACTCATCTAATAAAAATTATTGGGTATTGTTGTGTGTGAGGCACTAGGCTAGTTAAATGGTGTTGGGACAACTAGCTCCATCCCCAATTAATCCAAGGCTCTTTTCAAAATTCTACCTAGTTCAACCTTGCTTGGCCTAATCTAGTTCTGTCCAGTTTATTTCAGTGAACTCAGATTTTTTTTTAAGACCTTGCCTTCAATCCTAAGATTAAGCAGTACAGAAGCAGAGGTGAAAGTGAGAATAAAATCCAATGGGGAAAAGCAATGGGAATGTGGGAAGAACCCAACAAGGAAAAAAGTGAAATTTCTAGGCTGGTTTTAAGATTGGACTAAGGCAAATAAAACAATGATTTTTCTCTTACTTTAAAGTCTTTAAATAGTCCTGAAAAGTGAAATTTATATTCAAACTCTGTGAGACTTAGGAATAGCCCCAAGTGATATTTTTGAAAAATGTGCTGTTTCACAATGTACATTATTCAATTTATTTTGGAGAAAAATGAAGGCACAAGTAGAAAAAAAATTAACAAAATGAAATTAAGAAACTAAGAAAAAGCAGATTTTGCATTTATGGAACTTACCAACTAACAATTGAGAAGTCAGAAATAACAAATATAGAACTATGGGTACAGTAATAGAAACAGGTAAATGGTTTCATATAGAAGCCCATGGAGGGAATGGGCAAACTTTCTGGAAAAGGTGAAACTTGACATAGGTCTTCAACTTTCAGTATGAGGTCTATGGAAGAGAGAACGTTGAATGTCATGTAATATAGAATATTTCTTTAGGTAGGTGCCCAGGGAATGAATTTCAGAAACGTAAATAACTTGAGCACATGTTAAGAAATATTAAAAATATATATGTATTGTGCTGTGAAATAGTTCTGTTATGTAACTGGTGGGAAAGGAGGCTAAAAATTACAGTCTTGGGTTATTTCTTCGAATACTATGTGTGGAAGACTCTACTGGCAATCTACCCCATATCCATTTCAATCTGTTTTTCTTATAAATGGAACCCCATTTTTGTTCACTGAAATGATGTACCAAAGAAAAATGTACAGTTTCAAGACTTTGGGGGGTGGCCATGCTACACAATTTTTTGTGTTTTCTTTATGTATTTGAACAAACATTTCTTACTATTTTTCCTAAGTTAGCCACTGGAGATACGATAATAAAATAAAACAAAAAGAACAGACACAGTCTCTGATGTGGATAAACTTAATTTTCTAATGGAGCAAAGGGATGACACTCAACACATCAGAAAAAGAACCATACAAAATATATAATATGGTATATGGTGATAAGTAACCTGGAAAGAATATCAAACAGGAAAAATGTTTTACTTTTAAATAGTGTGATCAATGAGAGTGGTCCTCACTGAAAAGAGAACATTTGGTCAAAGACTTAAAGGTAAGAAAGTGCACTGCACCCTGTTGATTTCTGGGGAGAGAGAATTCAGGGCATAAGGGAGACAAGGTACTAAAACTGAGTCAAGAATGTGCTTACTGTGTTCAGAGAATTGCAAGCACAGTAGGAAAGGAAGACAGAGAATAATTATTAAGAGGTAGATGCTCTAGAATCTTGTAGACATTTTACTCTGTGAGAGTGAAAGCCATTAGAAATTTCAAGCTAAGAAATGACAAGCGTTGACATGACTTTTAACAGGATTTCTCTAGTGGTTGCGTTGATAGTAGACTGTACAGGGTCAAAGTTGATGTCAGAGAAGCAAGTAACAAGGCTGTTAGAGTCATCATGTGAGACATGATAGTGGCTGAACACAGGGTAGTAATAGGAAGGTGGGGAGAAGTGGTCAGGGTCTGGGTATACTGTATTTTGAAGGGAGGTTTCTGGAATATTACATGTTAAAATGTAAGAAAACTTAGGACTTGAAAATGCTGAGCGTTTGTACTAAGATAATGATAAAATGTTATGGCTACTAATTGAGAAATTAAGATAAAAAAGATTTGGGAAAAAATGGGTTTTCTGTTTGTTTCATTGTTTTTCTAATGGGTGTAGAAATCAGAAATTTGTTTTCTGACTAGAAAATTTGAGAGTTATCAGACATTCATGTAGAGTTGTCAAACTGGCATTTGGGTTTAGACGGGAAAATTCTTGACTGGAGATATATATTAGCTACTGTTAGCATAAAAACAATTTTAAAGCTTTGAGACTGCACAAGATGATCACAGGATTTGGTAGAGAGAAGAGAAGAGCAGAGAGGCAGAGGAAGGGGAGGGGAGGGGGGGGAGGACAGGGGAGGGGAAGGGAGGAAGGGAGGGAGGGGAGGGGGGGGAGGGGAGAAGCAGGGTCCTGGGGCTTTCCCATGTCAAGAGTTCAAAGTTGGAGAGAAGGGTATTAACAAAGGAGATTTAGAAGGATCAGCCAGTGACATAGGAAGAGAGTGAAGACAGTGGGCATTCTGGATGTCATGTGAAGAAAGTTTCAAAGCAGATAGACACATTAATTATTGCAAATGCTTACTTGTAATTCAAGTGAAAAGAAAACTGAAAATGTCTGCTGGATTTGGCAATGTGGAGATCATCAATGAGCTTGACAAGAAGCGTTTTGTTGGTGTGGTTGGGAATTGAAACCTGGTTTGATTGTGGTTAAGGCAAAATGACAACAAAAATATCTAAAGCAGTTATAATATACAAGTCATTCTTTGAAGGAATGCACAATAAATAAAGAGAGGTATGGACTTGAGTTAAAAAAAAAAACTAAGGTAGAGAAACGATGGCATGTTTACTTGCCTGATTGGAAATAATCAGAGATGGAGAACAACATTCTCTCATGGTTGAGATGGAATGAGATCTTGTAAACAAGAAAACATTTTGGCAAAATATACAACCTTGAAGCAGGTAGGAGTAAATATGATGATGGAAACTTATAGACATTTTCTATTGCTTGCTTCAGGTTTCTCAGTGAACTGTGAAGCAAAGTCATCAGCTGAAAGTGAAGATGTGGTGTGGAGGCATGGAGGCTTAAGGAGACACCATATGAAATAGTCCTTGGGCAGTGGAGAAAGGAATGCAGCAGGAACGGTTGCTGGGCAGCATGCAGGACCTCCTCCATTCTTTCTTGCATAAATTGTAGATGCAGTGATGAAGACTATAGCAAGCTTGCAATCACACCAAAACAAATGTGAAAACAAAAGCTTCATATGAATGAACAGAAAAGAAACTTTAATTTCTTTCATGTTTTGGAGCCATTCTACTTTTCCTTTACTAACTTCTGACTTCATGATATGTGAAAAAAAAACCATTATTTTATTAATCCTTAATAGTCAGGTATCAGTTTTATGTGCTCTTAAACTATCCTAACATATACTTCACGTTTGGACTTATTTGTTAGATGAAGGGGAGCCACTGAAGTTTTTGAAGACAAATGTGACATGACTAGTACTGAGATTTAGAAGATGACTCTAATGTGGCAGATGGATTTTCCCAAAGTATACATTACCTCTATTCCTTGATAACACTTTCTTTGGCTTTGCATCAAAAGCCATTTGCTACCTAATGTAGAAGCTATTACAGCTTGTGCCAAGAAGGAGAGTTATTCAATCAAAACTCATTGAAATATGTTGTTATCAGGCTGGTGTTTTCTGCTGTGAAATTATTAGGTGAATGTAGTGGTGTCAGAGATTGTTTGAGAACAAATTGCTGTAGGCCTTCAAATTTATAAAAGTGGAGTTTAGATTCCCACTGTGGATTTTGGGCTCCCTGTGAATGTTCTGATGTAGACAACTGTCAGAGTGAGGATAGGCTTTTAAAATAAGGTAAATTATCTATGTTCATCATTAAAGGCCTCAAATTCATTTTGAGTTGTTTGATACGTAAATCTTTTATATAATCAGTTCTTACTGTAATAACAAAGATAGATTTTTAAAACTTGAGATTATTTTGGAATTTTTTTAAAGGTTAGCAAGTAATATTTTTATTAATTTTATTAAAATTCGGTCAGATATTCTTCAACTCTGGGGCACATGCCACAGGTATATGTGATGGCGTTCTGGAAGAACCTGAATGCTTAATGCAAACCCAGTACATCTTCCTATACAATCAATTTATTTCATGGCAGTAAATTTAAATACATTTCTGTTCAAAATAACCAATCTTTTTATTATGTAGTAAAATGCAAATTCTTATAATTTTGATGATACGTGGAAGAGAATTTTAAAAATAAAGATATCTAAAGTTAAATTCCTAGATGCCTCTTTTTTATTGACCATTTATTTTTGTATATTGATATTTTGTGACAGGCATTGTACTAGATGAGAAGAATAAAGCATCAGATAAGGAAAACAGGCCTTAATAATCAAAGTCACATCTATTTTGTGAAAGACGGAAACAGGAACTCAATTTACTGAGCACATACTAAGTGCCAGTCACTGTGGGCCATAGCTTTGACACATTTTACATCCTCGGCTCCATTGCTTAGTGTAATCTGCTTCACTGCTTAGTGTAGGGCCATGCAGCTGGCAGGCTAGCAATAGATGAATATCTCTCTTGTTAAAAATATAGTTGAAGGGATTTCAAAATGATTATAAAGTAGGCAGGCTCTTGTTGAATAGTCAACAGTAAACTATATTTAAAATGTATTCATGCAACTTGAATATTGTAGCACCTGGAAATATCAATATAATTAAACTTCAGTCTAGATTTTTACCTTGAGCTTTTAGGCAATGAACCTTTAAGAAATTATTAGCATTAAGAGAAAATTGGATGCAAGATGTAAACGATAAGGAGTTATCTGCTTAAATAACTCAGAATAATTACTTCAGGATACATTATGTAAATTTTTGTTTTTTAATCTAGAGATAGATTATTTAGTTTGTGAACTATCCTGGCTTCATTAAAGCCATTTTCTCCAACTTCTCTCTTTTTTTTTTTTTTTGACTTACAAATATTTCTCTAATTTCTACCAGCTTTTCTTCAGAAAGTCCTACAAAAATTTGAAGAGGAAGGACATTGAAATTAGTGACTAAAAGGAAGTATTTTGTGGATGTCATGTTTTGAATGCTCAAATAACATATATATGGAAACTTATGTTGATTCCATGGTTTTTTGTATTTGTTTTTGGTCTTTTTCTCAATTCCTTAGCTTTTGTGTCACCTTTTCTATTTTTAGGAGATGCATTGTGTCATAATGCATATTCAGAAGAAAATCCACTTAAATGATAACTTCTTTAGTGTGGGAAAGTGGATGATTTTATTTTATTACCTTTGTTTTTCAATACTTTCAAATTTTAAATGGTGAGAATTGTATTAATTTTATGAACAAAAATGTTTAAAATTTTAAAATAAGTCTTGTGTTAATGGAAAATAAACTCTGTAAAATATTGCAAAGAGATTTTTCTGAGCCAATATGAATTACTGCATCCCAGAGAAAACACAAACCCAAGAAGCCTTGAATAAGGGGTCCTCAGACAATCAGGTTATAGTTTGGTTTTATACATTTTAGCATGACAGTATCAGAAGTGTCCAAACTAGAACAACTCCACCTTGAATAGGAGCTGGGTAAAATAAGGCTAAAACCTACTGGGCTGCATTCCCAGATTGTTAGGCATTCTAAGTCACAGGATGAGACTGCAGATTGGCACAACATACAAATCATAAAGACCTTGCTGATGAAACAAGTTGCAATAAAGAAGCCGACCAAAACCCACCAAAACCAAGATGGCCATGAGAGTGACCTCAGGTCGTCCTCATTGCTACACTCCCACCAGCGCCACGGCAGTTTACAAATGCCATGGCAACATCAGGAAGTTGCCCTATATGGTTTAAAAGGGGAGGCATGAATAATCCACCCCTTGTTTAGCATATAATCAAGAAATAACCATAAAAATGAGCAAACAGCAGCACTCAGGGCTGCTTTGTCTATAAAGTAGCCATTCTTTTATTCCTTTACTTTCCTAATAAACTTGGTTTCCCTTTTCGGCTCGCCCTGAATTCTTTCTTGAATGAGATCCAAGAACCCTCTTTTGGTTCTGGGTATGGACCCCTTTCCTATAACAACAAGAGTTACAAACAAGGATATAAATCAACACATGGAAAGTATAAGTTGCTTCCGTCAGAAAAGGTGAGTCATCTGGAAGAATGCCCTTACAGGGCATTCTTGAGTTGGCAATTTGTTGAGAGGGTTAAGCTATTGTATAAAGACTTGAAGTCAATAGAAAGGAATGCTTGAGTTAAATAAGGAGACTGAGGGGTGGCCACCCCCTCCCCCACCGACAAGGCCCTTATTATGTAGATGAAGTCTCACAGGTAGCAGCCCTCAGAGAGAATAAATGGTGAATGTCTCTTTTCAGATCTTAAATATATCAGAATCTCAGCTAGAGATTCTGAGAGGAGAGATTCTGATCTCTCCTAAATCCAAAAATGGCCTAGAAAGGGAAGGCATGGCTGCATTAATGGAGCTTCTCCACAGAAGCAAATTTCTCTAACAAAAGATGGCTTTGCAGAACCATTTCAAAATATGTCAAATAAATATATTTGGGGGTAGGATATTTTGATTTCCTTCAGGGTCTGCTGTCATGTGATGCTATACTAGAGTGAGTTCAAAAAGCAAGCCACCTTATACAGATTTATTTTTTAAAAATTTGATTTTATTCTCTGTAGGGTGTGACTTAATCTTTGCCTTGCATGGTCTTAGGTTTTGTTGATAATTTGGTGTATTATTGCCACAAAGAGTCTATTTCGTCAGTCTTAAGATCTCTATTTTAATCTTAATGCTGGTTAGTTGTGCCTATACTCCAAAAGGAATGGGATATAAGGAGACGCTTCTGACCTCTCTTCCCATCATGGCCAGGAATTCAGTTTTTCAGGTTTCTCTAGGGACTTGGCCTTGGCCTTGGCCAAGAGGTGGTCTTTTTAGTCAGTTGAGGGGCTTAGGATTTTACTTTTGGTTTATACTTGGAAAAAAAATAATTAAGGTATACGACTTTAATTTTCTGGTAGATACATCTGGGTAAAAAGTACAAATCTCAAACAATATTAGATTTTTTAGAAATAGTATCAAAACATCAGTTAGTATATCACAGAATTAACCACTGTTTTGATGCTCAGTGACAGCAACATTTATGGATTAATACATACAAAACCCTGAGAGTGGTTTTTTCCTTTATGAAAGATCTTTACATTTATGACTTCAACTACAAAGGAAATGAAATGTCCCAAAGTAGGCAGATGCTTGCCAAGAAAATACTTTCTAACCAATAGTCGAGGGAAGTGGGTCAAGGAAAAGAACCCAAAGCACTACTGTGGAATAAGTAGTAAAAAATATCATTTGCACGTGAACAGATCAGAATTTCCATCTATCTTAGAAACCTGAGTGTTTCCCATGACACAGGAAGTTCCTAAACTAGACCGTTCTTTTCTTTAAACAACACATTGCTGACATTTTTACAATAAAGATTACTTCTATATTGCTAGAGATAAATATCTCTATGAAAAGTTGTAAACTTACTTTTTGTAATATAATTTGAAAAAAATCTTGTATTTCTGGAGTTTTATGAATGTATTGTCTATAAGAAAAAGCATATAAATAAATGCAGCAATTGAAATTTTTCAGTGTAGTGTGTCCTTTGTGTAGTATATTTGTTGTCAGTAAATATCATTAATTAGTAATTTATGTTAAGATTTACCGTGAGGCTTTGCTGATGCTTCTATAAGTACCAGGGCATCTATATTTACAGATTTAGTAGTTAGAATATAATGTTAATTTTATATTTATATATTTTTAAAATTAAATATATGTGGATTTTTTTTCTTAGAGAAAGTGGATCTTGGCACTTATTTTAAGGCAAGATTCTCTTTGTAAGTAGCATGGAAGAAATCCAGTCTATAATGACATGAATATTTGAGATAGATGACTTTTTAAAAATTAACTTGATGTATATAATCTTCAGTACATTGATTTCTTGGTCTATAAAATAAGGTCTCGAGAGGAGGACTGGAGGATGAACTGAATAATATTACTTCAGCCTATTGTCTATTTTTACAGGATTGTACATTTCTGAGGAACAGTCGAAACTGGGTATGGACTTCTGCTTTTTAATATTTCTCTAAGTTTACAAATTGGTTATCTGATAGCTTCTTGCTCTCATGAAATACGTATTTTCCTTCCCCAATAAACAGACTTTTAAAAATTGATATAATTTAAGTTGTTATTGCTAAAAAACATATTCTAAAGCATTGCCTATATAATATTCTAACATTTGGTAAATTTATACATAAGTAAAATTAAGACAAA